CATGCTTAAGATCATCATGAACATTTACTGAAGGCCGCTGACACGAGGTGGACGTAATTCTAATCCCTTCTATAGGATTAGTATGTTTGTAGTGTTTTTAAAAACAGCATGTTTTCCCTGCAATATCTTAAAACGGAACTATCCTTTTTCACAGGCCATTGTTTGAGCATCTCTACCTGTAAGAACTTCAGAAATAATGTACTGAGAGTCCTAAAGAGCACACACATCAGCTGTTTCCTGTCCTGTATATAATTATTGTAGCACTACCATCCCTACAAGGTTTTCCATTTGTGTCTAGCAATACACTACAAGCAGAGCATTTTATCTATCAGGATTTCCACGTGTCCTTCTTACAATATCAATAAAGGAGGAAAAATAATGACTTAGTCTGCTTTTTAATTATATAAAGTTGCCCTACAATTTTGGATGTTTTTAAAGCTTTTCCCCCTTTTTTAACCTTAAACCTTAGCAGTTTCAAGTCTTTTGCTGAAGGCCTTCTTTCAAGATTCAAACATGGATTTCTTACTCTCCAATAAAAGGGAAATAATAGTTGTTGAATCTTTAACAAAACATCTTGCTTTCAACATTCCTTGCTAATACTAGAGATGTTAAAAAGCAGTTAATTAGGTAACTGTAACCACTGAAAATATGAGTTCCCTTTCAACTGACATACCTAAATCTGAAAATATCCCAGGGAACAGATTGTCCTGCAGGCACTGCAGTATAAAGCTTTATAGCTGCTTCCACCTGCAGAGTCACATAGCACAGGTGCAACTTCACCACGCTGTGTCCATGACAGGAACCCTGTCCCTATGGGGCAGGACTAGGTAACTGTAACCACTGAAAATATGAGTTCCCTTTCAACTGACATACCTAAATCTGAAAATATCCCAGGGAACAGATTGTCCTGCAGGCACTGCAGTATAAAGCTTTATAGCTGCTTCCACCTGCAGAGTCACATAGCACAGGTGCAACTTCACCACGCTGTGTCCATGACAGGAACCCTGTCCCTATGGGGCAGGACACCTGATCTCCCCCCCCCCCCCCCCCCCCACCCCCCCCCCC